ATTATTACTGATTATTATTGCTTTTAAGAAATCATGAGAGAAAAAATAGGGAAAAATAAAATCTGCATATTTATGTCAAACAAATATAATCAGTCATCTCTCACACAGTATAAATAGATCTCACATATAAAAAATATAGCAGCCTTTTTTAGAAAACATTTGAGGTGCTTGTCATGAAAAAGTTGTACTGTATCATTTCAAATATGACTGAAGGTTTTTTGTTTTTTTGGCGATGCATAGCACTGCAACCTTGCAACAGTTTATGAAGGCACACAAGGGTTTTAGGTATCAGCCAGGTCTTGTGATGGCTTGTTGCTGCCTCTTGAAAGTTCATGCCTAGCCCTGCAGTAATGGAGCTCTCATTGTGCGTCTATGGCACGTCTTCCGTTTCATTATGCGGTACTCAAGGCCGGTGGCCCAGTCAACACGACATCTGGGGCTTCTGAATCAGCAATAACTAAAAGGGTTCTCGCTGACTAAAGTAAGACAGACCCCACGCTCAGCTCGCAGGCTTAGTTTCCCGATCCAGCAGTAAAACAAAACAGACTTCACACCCTAGTCACACGGGACAGCTAGAGAATAACAGTGAATAGAGGAGCAGAGGAATGTATGTTTCGCACAGGCACGAATTGTTACATGAAGGGTCATAAACATGGTTTTTGCAGTGAGGTCTGGATTATTTATCCCACATTGTTAAGTGCAGCGGGTGATGAACTGGCTGTTTGGAAAAATGAGAAGGCTTGGAAGGATGCAGGCAAACAGCACGAGTATTTCATTTTAACAGACGCACTGTTTTTCTAAATGGTAAACTGATATGGAAATATGATAAACGTTTTATAAATCTTTTCATTAACATTTTGCTTTCAATTTAAAATGTTTCCATGACTGTTAAGTTAAGGGATAGTTCACCCAGAATTCAGCATTTGCTCACCGTCATATCATTCCAAACCTGACTTTCTTTCTTCAGGGGAACACAAAAGAACTGAAACAACAAAACTACACTGGATCCTGTTGACTTTCACTGTACAGACTTTAAAAAGTGGGATATTTCTCGAAATATCTTCTTTTTGCAGAAGTAATGGAACGACATGAGGGTGAGTAAATAATGACAGAAATACTATGGAACTCAGTGGCTACCAATAACTGTTTTGTTAGCAATAACTTCAGTTTGTGTTCAACAAAAGAAACTCATACAGGTTTGGAACAACTTGAGGGCAAATGAATGACAGAGTTTTTGGGTGAACTATCCCTTTAAAAATAAAGGTTCTTTATTGGTATCTATGGTTCCTTGAAGAACCTTTAACATCTATAGAACTTTTCCATTGCACAAAAGTGCCTTATAGTTAAAGTATAGTTAAAATGTCCTTCACACTGAGAAAAAAAATGGTTCTGTTAAAAACTGTTCACTGACAGATTCTTTGGGGAACCCAAAATGGTTCTTCTATGACAATAATGCAAAAAAAAAAAAAACAAGTTTAGAACCTTTATTTTAAACAGTGATATAGTAAAGACTTCTGCAATGACCAAACATAACTATATGCCCATGCTGAAGATGAAATCATTTCCTAAGTTCAATGTCTTTGAATGGCATTGTGTTATTTGGCAAGGCTATTTGGGTGCGTCTTGATCATTTGACCAACCATGTGCTGACCTGAGAGCAAATTTCTTGTTGGTTTTAGATCAAATTATCGCAGAAACAACATCTGTATACTGTCATAAAGCCTATGCTTTTTCTTTTTGGTGTCGTTCCAGAAAAATCTAAAGGCTACCATGTAAATAGTACTGACTGCTTTTTTTTTTTTTTGAGGTTACTGGGTCATTGACATCCTGAAAGACCTCCTTTCCTTCCTTTTTTGTAATGTTCTGTTATCAACTTGACAGCATTTGCTGTCTCGCTATCAAGTTAAAGCAACAATAAATGACATTATGACCATAAGCTACGTGAGGATTGATTGATGTATCTGAGAATTACTGAGAGCAGCATAATTTATCCGGATATACAAAGGGGTCGAGGCGTATCCGGAGTCTTTCCTTTCAGAAAGCATCTGGGATGCCTCTACTGGAGCCTTGTCATTTATGCCACACGTTAAACCGAGTCCAGAGAATAGCATGTATATTATTAGCTGTGTAGCAGCTGAGTATAAACTCACTCTATTAATAAACCTAAAATTATTTCAACCCTATCCATGCACTAAATATTCCTCCCAAGAAGAATGTAAGAAAGGTTGGGGCTAGTTGTCACAAAGTCTAGTAGTTTCGAGTGCATGTTTTCTCTATTTTCGGTTTTGTATGTTAGTTTCAAAATGCTTGCAAATTAGAATAAACCAAACCACACTGGCATACATTCTGTTATAAGTCGATTATTTTATCTGAAAGTTTGAAAGGTGTTTTTAGGACAAGGGTATTTTTCATAAATGTCACACATTTTTAATTATAATGTAATCAACTGATTAATTTTAATACTATTTAAAATGATTTGTTATTACGTTATTTCGTTAATTACATATGTGTTGTACTGTTTAAATGTAGGTTACAAGTCTATAATAAGCTGTTTAATAGTATAGGTTAATTTGTGACAACATGCCCCACTGTTTTTTCAATGTCTGTTGAACAAACTGTATCTTTTTTTCCCTGTGAAATAACAGTGGAACCTCTTTCTTTTAGCCAAGACTTTAAGGTATGTGTCTACTCAGGGACTTTCAAAATGAAACCCCAGAAATATTTACTAGAGTAAACAAAGACAACTTGCCCCACAGTGTCATCAGTTCCTCCAGTCACACTTTACATTACAGTGTCAACAAAGTAGTGTTAGAAAGTAATTGCATAAGTGCTGAGCAACACTAATTCTGATAAACATCATATGTTTTGTAGTAGAGCTGCCTGTCAAGACTTTGTTATTAGTTTGTAGAAGATGGGCACAACAATATACAGTGTTATACAGTAGTTCAATCTCTCTCATGGCAGTTGGCACGGGTTTCTTGAGTAGCTCCCTGTTAAACTGGAGCAGGCCATGTGGGATGGGGTTGGGAGTCACAGTCGGGTCAAGTTACATACAAAAAAATCAGGTTGTAAGGACTCCTCACACCCCTCCCCAACACTGCAGTGTTCAGCTCCAGAGGGTCCACGCGCTTCTTACAAGTTTTCTCCGAAACTCAGCCAAGGATGGGACAAGACGCAGGGAATTTACTCCATGTAGCGTTTGTCCAGCGCGAGTAGGATTATTTACATTCGAACTTTTTCCCCCTAACTCTTTAGGGACAATTCATTTTTTATTTTTTTTTGTAAATTAACTGATTATCTTTTTTCTCCCACAATCACTTGGTTTACATCTTTTACATTTTTTTAATTATTCGTTTTTACGGTTATTTCTTCATATGACTCGTTTAAATAGAGGTCTAATGAATTTCAAGCAAGAATGAATCAGTTTATCGTTAGTTTCCTCATTTTGGCGCTGACCACCAGCGCGCTCTCCTCATCCGTCTCGCCGGTGAAGAGACACTCCGGCGCGGATGACAGCGCCTCAACACTGGCCTTTGTCTTCGATGTTACCGGCTCTATGTACGACGATCTCAAACAGGTGATAGATGGTGCTTCTCGGATCTTGGAGAGAACCCTGAGCCGCAGAACAAGACCAATCAAGAACTTCGTGCTGGTTCCTTTCCATGATCCAGGTAGTTGCACAATCCTATATTTCAGCTTTATTATTAAAGTCAATTATAAATGATCCGTGTCAGTTACTTTACCTCATAAAAGTGATTCCGTAGAATAAATAACTTCTGACTGGAGTAACACTTGATGAAGTTTGTGAGGCCAAGCATTAAAGAATGTCTGGGAACTAATATGAATAAAGGTGTTCGGGCTGCTAGGAACATCTTCACCACCAGGGACCGCTGAAAGGTAGTGATCCATGGCATCATGGAGTGATGTTTAAAGATGCACTGTCAGTTTTTGTGTTTTAGTATGTTTTATTCTACATGTAGCAGGTTGTCCTCTCATGGGAGCCACCATGTTAACATCACATGGTCAACTAGTTATGACCAAGTTACTACTACTACTATGACAAAAATAATTTTTTTTAGAAGCAGGATAAGTAGAGAAGGAATAGGAAAAAAACAAAACCCATGTAACAGCACAAATCACCAACAATGTTGACATTTAATCCAATAATGTCCATTTACATGAAATCAAGAAAAACACACAACGTGAAACAAGATAAACAAACAGTTTTGGTGTGAAATGTCAGCAGTTAGTAAAGGCATCCAGGCCAATGGGTGTCAGGCCAACTGGCTAAAGTCAGGTTATCGATGCCATATTTAATTTAATGTTGAAGAAAATGAGGCTGTGAGGGAAAGACTTACAGTCGTTACAGTAACATGCGTTGTATAAAGTTCTTGTTTCACATTTTTTCCCACCAAAACTGTTTTTCCCACTAAGACATTTCGTCAGCTGCACAGTTGGTGTGCTGTCAAACAACAGTATAATGCATTATATGCACTGTACTTCCGTCGTCACAGCCTCATTTTCATTTCTGTCAAATTTAAATATAGTGCTACCCTGACTAAAATCCATGAGCTACATATTAACAAAACTCACTGAGTGCACCTTTAAGCAGCAGGATTGTATTTTATTTTGTTCAGTGAATTTTGAGCAGGTTAATCGGCAAATCACATCATAATTTTTCTGTCTATTACTGAATGTTTGTCATGCTCATGAAATCTGTTTAAATTCCACATCTGGTCTCAGACTGCAGAGAGAATACTGTGTTCTCATTACTCCATGTAGCGTTTGTCCAGCGCGAGTAGGATTATTTACATTCGAACTTTTCCCCCCTAACTGTTTAGGGACAATTCATTTTTTATTTTTTTTTGTAAATTAACTGATTATCTTTTTTCTCCCACAATCACTTGGTTTACATCTTTTACATTTTTTAATTATTCGTTTTTACGGTTATTTCTTCATATGACTCGTTTAAATAGAGGTCTAATGAATTTCAAGCAAGAATGAATCAGTTTATCGTTAGTTTCCTCATTTTGGCGCTGACCACCAGCGCGCTCTCCTCATCCGTCTCGCCGGTGAAGAGACACTCCGGCGCGGATGACAGCGCCTCAACACTGGCCTTTGTCTTCGATGTTACCGGCTCTATGTACGACGATCTCAAACAGGTGATAGATGGTGCTTCTCGGATCTTGGAGAGAACCCTGAGCCGCAGAACAAGACCAATCAAGAACTTCGTGCTGGTTCCTTTCCATGATCCAGGTAGTTGCACAATCCTATATTTCAGCTTTATTATTAAAGTCAATTATAAATGATCCGTGTCAGTTACTTTACCTCATAAAAGTGATTCCGTAGAATAAATAACTTCTGACTGGAGTAACACTTGATGAAGTTTGTGAGGCCAAGCATTAAAGAATGTCTGGGAACTAATATGAATAAAGGTGTTCGGGCTGCTAGGAACATCTTCACCACCAGGGACCGCTGAAAGGTAGTGATCCATGGCATCATGGAGTGATGTTTAAAGATGCACTGTCAGTTTTTGTGTTTTAGTATGTTTTATTCTACATGTAGCAGGTTGTCCTCTCATGGGAGCCACCATGTTAACATCACATGGTCAACTAGTTATGACCAAGTTACTACTACTACTATGACAAAAATAATTTTTTTTAGAAGCAGGATAAGTAGAGAAGGAATAGGAAAAAAACAAAACCCATGTAACAGCACAAATCACCAACAATGTTGACATTTAATCCAATAATGTCCATTTACATGAAATCAAGAAAAACACACAACGTGAAACAAGATAAACAAACAGTTTTGGTGTGAAATGTCAGCAGTTAGTAAAGGCATCCAGGCCAATGGGTGTCAGGCCAACTGGCTAAAGTCAGGTTATCGATGCCATATTTAATTTAATGTTGAAGAAAATGAGGCTGTGAGGGAAAGACTTACAGTCGTTACAGTAACATGCGTTGTATAAAGTTCTTGTTTCACATTTTTTCCCACCAAAACTGTTTTTCCCACTAAGACATTTCGTCAGCTGCACAGTTGGTGTGCTGTCAAACAACAGTATAATGCATTATATGCACTGTACTTCCGTCGTCACAGCCTCATTTTCATTTCTGTCAAATTTAAATATAGTGCTACCCTGACTAAAATCCATGAGCTACATATTAACAAAACTCACTGAGTGCACCTTTAAGCAGCAGGATTGTATTTTATTTTGTTCAGTGAATTTTGAGCAGGTTAATCGGCAAATCACATCATAATTTTTCTGTCTATTACTGAATGTTTGTCATGCTCATGAAATCTGTTTAAATTCCACATCTGGTCTCAGACTGCAGAGAGAATACTGTGTTCTCAGGTATGCTTACACAATGTAACCTAGTTCAAACCAGCTATCTGTTAGCCGTGGGGTGGGGGGGCAGGGTGCCCAAGGAGCTGATGAGAAGCACATGTTGTCTGGTAGTATGTAATTAACACAATCACCCCCATCCTCCATCCAATTCTCCGGAAGATTCAACCCAGCCCCCCAGTCAGAGGAGAGACGTCAGTCCTAGACTGGTAGGGGGATGGTGCTAGTCCTTCCCTCACCTTTTAATGTGGCCTTCCCTTGGGGACCTTGTAAACTGCTGAGATCACAAAGACAGACAGAAAGGCGTTACAGAAACACAACTTAATGGCCCCTCACAGCCGAGAGAGGGATGGAGAAAGTGCAGAAAATGAAAATGAATGTTAGAACTGGGTGCATTGCTGCTTGAGTTCATTAGTATTTGTGTTTGTGTTTCGAACCCTGCTGGAAGAAACTAAACCAGCTTCTGTTGGTTTGCTGGTCTTAGCTGGTTTAAGCTAGTCTAGCTACTCTCTCAACACCCCCCCAACCATCTAAACAGGCCAGCCTATGCTTGTTTACAGCTGAGAATGTTATATTAATATTGATATTAATGTTGATAAAATATCATTCATATATATTGTAAAATATAATAGTATATGTTCAAACATCCTAAACCAGCCTTAGTTGGTTTGCTGGTCTTAGCTGGTTTAAACTGGTTTAGCTGCTATTTCAAGTCCGTTTACAGTTGGTTTAACTAGTTTGATGTTTACAACTTCCCCAAACCCCACTAAACTAGCAAAACAGACCAGCCTATGCTTGTTTACAGCTGAGGATGTTATATTAATATTGATATTAATGTTGATAAAATGACCTTAATATTTATTTTTATTTTTAATATAATATAATATAATATAACAGTACAAGTTTAAAAAAACTAAACCAGCCTTAGTTGGTTTGCTGGTTTAAGCTGGTTTAGCTGTGCCTCCAAGCCAGTTTACAGATGGTTTTATGTTTACAACTTACCCAAACACCTCTTAACTAGCAAAACAGACCAGCTTGACCATGCTATGCTAGTTTTAAGCAGAGAATGTTTATAAAATAATAATATTATTTTTTATAACATATTCTCAATATAAGTTTTATATAATATAATATAATATAATATACAGACTGAAACAAACACTAAAGCCTTAGATTTTGGACAGCCTTAGTTGCTTTGCTGGTCTTAACTGGTTTAAGCTGGTTCAAGCTGATTTAGAGATGGGTTGCACTGATTTTAAGTGCACTGGTTTTAAACCAAAAAAATCATTCAATGCTTTTTTTTCAGCATAGCCTGATTTCGTAATATTAATATTAATATTGACTAAATCATTAATGTAAGTATTTATAATGTATTATTATTATTTATAATGTAATGTAACACCAAATTTGGATTCAATATAAAGTTTGTTGGCATTCAGTGCCGAAGATCATAACTTAAATGTTTTTTTGTTAAATAATGGTGTATTGATCTGTCCGATTCGCTCTCAGAAGAAGATATACTTTTCCTCAGACATATTCCAAATTTTTCTCTTTTGTCCATTTTCCCAAAGCACTGTCAAATTGTAATCCACCTCTTTGTCTTCTATTTTTTAATAACTTTTTAAATTATATATGTATTTTTTTTGGGCAAAGTAATAAACCATATGGGATATCTGACCCATACTCAGATCATAAACAATACATCTTCTTTATGCTTTTTCATCCATGTGCCATATATTCAGCTCTCTAATCAATCAGCTTCTGAGTGAGTCCAAACAAGTGCCAAATTCAGGGAGGACACTATTCATCCAGAGACGAAAGAATGGGAGAGATAGACACAAGAGATATAGTAGTGAAAGGGGAAGAGGTCAGAGTGGTGGATCTAGGTGGATGATGACAATCTTAAACAATGATGCAATGAGGTTATGCACCCAGTCTGGTATTGCATGAGGACTGTTGGAATTTTGCATGGTCTTTAATTTATTGTCTCAGCTGTCAAAAGTTTCAAGACAGTCATTTGTATCCGCAGATGTTGATGAGGTAGAATCCGGGACAAATGTGTTTTGTGATTAGGAGTTGGCTGGGTCTGTAGCTAGTTTGTTAGTCTGATCTAGAGACAGTCATTAGTAGGGTCATATCTGTGGAAGAAGCTTTGGTTGTACCTAATCCACACTGTTTAAAACTCTTTAATGAGGGTGAAGAAGGTTAATCTTTTAAAAACTCCTGCTCCCCAGGGATATGCTTGTTGAAGTGTTGTGATAGACTTTCCAAAACTATGCTCACGTAAAGCCTTTTTAAAGCTTTTGTACACAATTAATATGTAATGTAGATGTTTCTTGATTCCTTGTTTTTCCTCTCCAGACATTGGTCCTGTTTCCATCACAACTGATCCCAAGAAGTTCCAGAAGGATCTTCAAGAGCTGTTTGTTCAGGTGGGCACCAGTCGAGAATGAAACATCCAGTAATCATATGAAAAGTCAAGTTATTTGATAGGGGTTCATTAATATTAGTTTTACTGGTCTTAGCTGTTTTAAACTGGTCTAGCTATTCTTCCAAGCTGATTTACGGATGGTCTAACTGTTTTAAATGCCCCAAATCCCATTGGAACCAGCAGAACAGACCAGCCTGATCATGCTGACTGTGCTTTTTTTAACCATAGAATGATTATAAAATATCATTAATATAAGTATTTATATAATATTATAATATGTAACAGGTACTTCATTTGAGAGAGATTTATCATTTTTATTTGATCACTGATCCTTTCAGTAATCACACTATTTTATACAGATTCACCAATATTAAAACAATATTTATTTTAATGGAAATATTATTTTAGTCACTTAAAAAAAATCATTTCTACAAGTATAATTAGACATCACATAATTTTAATAAACAATGTGGAAAAATATAAATTTTATATTAAATATACTGTCAAATTAAATACAATTAAATAAAATATTAAATCCACGTCATGTAACACTCACTTAAAGTTCTATATGAGATGATAGATTTATATAATTCAAATTGTTGCTCCAAGCATCATTTCTTAATCTCTAAAACGGCATTGACTGGTTAAAATGATGTCCTTGCTTTATTATGCCACACTAGATTACTATAGGACTCATTGTCCTGCCTGCACCACCACCTCTATCACTTCCACACATATTTAACCTCCACACCTCTCTTGGTAGCTTTGCTCAGGTGTTTATGCTTATATTCTTTAGCATCAAAAGACACAGCAGTCATTGGCCTCTTTCTTCATAAATCATCATCAAATCATATTCTGTACTTTGTGTTCTTATTTGCTCTCTGTGGCTTCTGCTGAGTATCTTGGCTTGTTTCAGCGTTTGATCTGTCTTCAGCGCTACAGTTTTATTAGCACTCTGTTCTTATTGTACCTTTGGGCTCTAGAGTAAGTACTGGAACTTGTACCCCGAGCCAATACAATATGCGCTTTCTTGTGCTCTGGTTAGTGCATAAATGTCCATGTCAATGATGAAGGCCTTGTTGTTCTCTCTCAGGGTGGAGGGGATTGTCCAGAGATGAGCATTGGGGCCATCAAGAAGGCTCTGGAGGTTTCTCTACCTGGATCCTTCATCTATGTTTTCACAGATGCCCGAGCCAAAGATTATCGCTTGAAAAGAGATGTTCTTCAGCTTGTACAGCTCCGACAGTCTCAGGTAACGACAGATCTTTGAAGTCTTTTTGCAATTCTGTTCAGTGCTGCTGGTGATACAGAAATCACGCTTTGTCTTTAAGGGAATAGCTCACCCAATAATAAAAATTAGCTGGAAGTTCACTCACACTTAGGACATTCGAGGTGTAGATAAGTTTGTTTCTTCATCACAACAGATTTGGAGAAATTTAGCAGTATGTCACTTGCTCACTAATGGATCCTCTGTAGTGAATGGGTGCCATCAGAATACGAGTCCAAACAGTTGATAAAAACATCACAATAATTCACAAGTAATCCACACAACTCAAGTCCATCAATCAGCTTCTTGTGAATTGAAAAGCTGCATGCTTGTAAAAAACAAACCCAGGCCAGCATTAAGAGATTTTAACTACAAACTGTTGATTCCAACTAAAATCTTTTATCCATAATATTGCTTAATATTCTCATCTGAATAAGGAGAGAAATATGCAAAGATCAAGCACTGTTTACAAGCAAAAGCAATCCAAAACAGTTCTAAACAAATATGTTGGTGGATTTTGATGTGACAGGGGGATGGACTTTTTCACTGGAGGAAACGTTGTAATGGATTATGGACATTGGTGAACTGTTTCTTTCAATATTGAGCTCTAAGGTTGTGAAGTTGTAAGCCAGAAATCTAAATATATCACAACCCATTTAAAAAAAAAATCCATCTGCTCTTCATGGAATATACCCCAGTGTTGACATTAACCCCAACACCCAACCCCCTAACCAAACACTCACACTCATAAACGTCCTGTTTGAATCCAGGTTGTGTTTGTGCTGACGGGGGACTGTGGGGATCGGTCTCAGCCGGGATACAGAGCTTATGAGGAGATTGCTGCCACCAGCTCCGGTCAAATTTTTCACCTGGACAAACAGCAAGTCAATGAGGTGAGATGCATGAACTCATATAACTTTCATATGTATGTAAATTGCAGACACACTAAAAAATGCACATGCTGGTAAATGCAGTTAGAAGTAATTTGGGAAAAAAATAAGACAAAAAAAACATTTTAACAACAGTGTATATATATATATGTGTGTGTGTAATTTAATTACATTTTCAGTTTTTGGAATGTTGTCATTCATGTTGGAACAGACCAAAAGAAATGTGTTTTACATTCATCCGCAACCATTCCCTTAAACTTTGTTAACCTTCTTGAATTAATTATACATACATACATAAATACAAAATGCTTTTGAGTTTTGACATGCTTGCAAAAGAAGAAAGAAAATGTCCTAATGTTTTTTTGGACACACAATAAAGACACAGAAATAATTCCATAGTCTAGTAGTACAGTGTTCATTTGTTGTGTAATGTGACTGGGTTTGAGCTGTTACTCGACTGACCAAGTTTTGACATGTGACATTAATTTTACAGCTGTATTTTGAATTGTAAACTCCACTTTGTTGAATAATCTGAAGGGGCATGTGTTTAAGTCTGTGTTTCATAGCATGGAGACTAAAACTAAGCATGTTCAGTCATAGTCAGACATGAAAGAAAGCAGACCTTCCTTTTTGTGAGACGGTGGTATCATGCATGTCAACACAGGACATGGCAGAGCCGAAGTCTTCCAGCAACAACTATGGAAACACTAATCCATAAGACAACAAGGCAAAACAGCTTGAAAAGTAAAGAAAAGCACGTTTGCGAGTGTGTATTTGTAATAGGATATGTGTGTTGTTGATGTATGGTCCTGTGGGGGTGGGTAGCTGATGGTAGTTGTGTTTGAGAGCTTTACCACCTGTACCTGTTGCTGAGAGTCTGCACTGAGGATGACTGGTCAACCTCAAGCTGTTAACACTCTCCAACTGCCAATTTGTGAGAATTGTCTCAAGGTCAGGGTCACACAGTTGCTCTTTAGAGTTCTGAGTTTACCTGTATTTTGAATGACATTGTATTGTGTTTTCGGGTTGAAGGAAATATCCATAAAAATTGCCTTTACCTTTTTCGTTTTTAGTACAAATCTTAGAAACCAAATACCCAATACATCCCATGTACCTAATTTCTCCAATATTTTAGATCCAAGTATGAAAACACACTCCCATGTCTGGTGTATTTTTTGCTTTTGATTAGTCTATGGGTGGGATTTTGAAAAATGAATGAAGGCAAATCTGTAAATCCGCAGAAACCTCATGATTGTTCTCCACATCTAACCACAACGGCTATCTGATAGGAGTTAAATGAGTGAGAGCCAAATCAAATACACACAGCGCTTTGTCATTTTTTTGGGAGGGGAAGGGGGCAAAGAGGGGGAGCAGGGCTTATTTTACTTAGTAATCCCGGATATGATCTATCATGCCTGCTCTATCCAGCACAGCTGCCTGTCCAGGGTCCAGGTTGGACGTCTCCAACAGACAGCTCTTTGTGGAGCTGATGGAGGAGGCACTACTTAAACAAAGGACGGGGCTCAGCTTAATCACTGGAGTGATTTGCAGATAAAGCTTTATGAAAGCGTGTCGGTGCTTTAAAGGGTATAATGGTTTGGCTGAAACCTCAGGCCGGCCAAGCTCAAAGCGAAGGTTGAAGATTTCGGTAGTGCTGGGCAGGAGACTTTAGTAGTGATGGAAGATCTTGTTTTTTTTTATAGCGCACCTATACCAGGGATCTTCAACATTTTTCATTTGGTGGATATAGAGAGGTAGCGAGGAACTGGAACTGAGTGTTGCATTTGAAGTCTGGCCTATATTTAGATCTGTACAGTATATTTATTTACACATATTTTTGTAAAGACACTTACATTGCAAATACATTAAAAATTATGAATGGTGTCACATACTTGTACATTACATTTTAATTTTTACTTTATACCTTTGAACTTCAGAGGGTCAATTTTATTGAACTTCAGCTTTTTTAATTTTATATTTAAATTATGTTAATTCAATATTATATATTTGTCAGCTGAAGTACTGCCTGTTTGAGAGCCCCTTAATAGATAGCGCACCTATACCAGGGATCTTCAACATTTTTCATTTGGTGGATATAGAGAGGTAGCGAGGAACTGGAACTGAGTGTTGCATTTGAAGTCTGGCCTATATTTAGATCTGTACAGTATATTTATTTACACATATTTTTGTAAAGACACTTACATTGCAAAGACATTAAAAATTATGAATGGTGTCACATACTTGTACATTACATTTGAATTTTTACTTTATACCTTTGAACTTCAGAGGGTCAATTTTGTTGAACTTCAGCTTTTTTAATTTTATATTTAAATTATGTTAATTCAATATTATATATTTGTCAGCTGAAGTACTGCCTGTTTGAGAGCCCCTTAATAGTGATAGTTTCTGTCAGTAATGTACAAAATTTAGTTATATATCAATTGATTTGATCATAATCATGCTTTGCTCATAGGGTTTCTAAGGAAAATCTCTTTTAATTGCAGAAATTGATCAGAAATTAAATGCATACACATAAATGCACATTACTTGATCAAAGGAAAATGCCATGTGAACTAATAAAGAGGGTGGAGGGATAGGATATTTCTTAATATTCCTACCTTTATAACAGTTTTTTTTAATCCAAAAATTCATCCAATGTAACACTTTCACAGCCAAAGTGTTTCAACATCACTTAAACCAGCACATGTATATTGCCCACAGGTGTTTTCCGTCAAAAAGACCTAATAGCAAAAGTGTCTGACCAAGTGTAACTAGATCCAGTTTAGTCTGGATGTCCTGCTCTGTTTTTGTCATAGGTGACCAAAGTCTTGTCTGTAATATGGAGAACATTTAGAGGTCACCTTTGAGAGAGGAAGACAAATGTATTAACCTTTTGCTTCGGTGTCACAGGAAAAAAAACAAGCAGGTGTTAGACATTCTCCACTGAATAGATGAAATTAACTTGGTTAGAGACTTAATTCTCTTAGTGCCTAATGCATTTGGCAGATGCTTTTATCTAAAGTGAGTTACAGTGTGTCCACGTTCCTGTTTTTGCCTATGTGTGTGATTCCTGGGTCCCCATAATACAGTATCTTTCCAGTGGAGCATTCAAGGGGCAGTTGACCCAAAAACTAAAGGACAAGGTATTCCGGTTTGGAATGACGTGAGGGTGAGTGATTGAGGACTTTGGGTCATCTATTATTTACTTTTAGATGAACTGAACATTTATTCACTTTCATGTCATTTTAAACCTGTAAGACTTCTGTAGAGCACAAAAGAAGAAAGTTGAAGAATGTCCTGGCTGCTCTTATTCATTTAATGAAAGTGAGTGGGGGGACTTTCAAACCCCCAAATAATAAAAAAATAACTTACATTTCAGATCTGTTTCTATGACTATGACTTCTTAAGATGTGGCATAAAGTGCATTGGTCACATGGACTACTTTTATGATATTTTTGTGCTTGACAGCTCAAGTCCCCATTCACTTTCATTATATAGGTAAGAGCTGTTTCTTTCATTTTTCCTTTTGTGTTCCATGGAAGAACACAGCATTCAGGTATGGAATGATGTGAGGGTGAGTAATTGAGGACTTTGGGTCATCTATTATTTACTTTTAGATGAACTGAACCTTCATGGGTAAGAGCTGTTTCTTTCATTTCTCCTCTTGTGTTCCATGGAAGAACAAGGCATTCAGGTTTGGAATGATGTGAGGGTTAGTAATTGAGGTCTTTCGGGTCATTTATTATTTACTTTTAGATGAACCGTCCCTTTAAACCATAACTTATCCAAACAGTGTGGGTGCTAAGCTGGAATTCGGCTCATCCTCAGCTGACCTCCACATCCTTTCCACATCTCTGCTTCCCGACCAACACTCCTCCACAACTAATCTTTGAAACATGACAGCTTAACTTCCAGAGGAAGCCAGTCTGTTGCCTCCCATTAAGGTTTGTCACGCTGGATGTGGTTTCAGGATCCCTTTGGCTTTGATGATGTCTTTTGGGGGGCACCTTTCAAACCTTTCCTAGACGCACACAGGCCGTAGTTGACAATATTTCCCTCCGCTGTGGACTTTTTGTCGATTTTCTATCACTAGGCTAATCTTCCCGGCTCCCATGAGACGTCCATTGAAACAGACACTGGTTTGAGCAGATGTAGGTCATTGGTGAGCTTTTTGCTGCTCTGTGGGGGATAGTTGCACATGTGGCACTCATTACAGCTGTTTCCAGTTGTAAACTCCGAAAGGAACCAGCTGCCGTCTGCAGCCAGTGAGAATGAGAGAGCGAAAGAGTGAAAGAAATAGTGGAGAAACTGAGTAATGAAATTATCAAAGGCTACGCTCGCTCCAGTTCTCTTTCTCATTCGTAAATGTATAAAGATGTGTTAAATAAGCGTCATTCTCGAGGGCTTACTGAAGCGGTGTTTTCGTTCAGTGTTATGGACACAGAGCAGCCATTATGTCTGTGCTCAATATAAAAAGGTCAGAACAAATACACACAGCTGCCTCTAAAGGAGTTAATGACTGAAATCTAAAAATACAAACTCTGAGGAAACAGTTTCCTTTAGTTGTTGGTCTTACGCTCTCCTTGTGCTAATAAGCTGCTGTGAAAACACAATTTTCTTCGTGATGTATCAAATCGTCCACAATAATGATCTTTAATTGATGTGTACCTAGTAAAACCCCATACCCAATTATCCACTATGGGATGTAAAGTTGATTTTAAATGTATTTAAGTTCTTTCAGGTCATTGTAGTACATTTGGACAGTTGGTGAGTTTCACATTTCACATTATCGACTTCTGGTACACATCTGCTATTTTGAACATGCGCACCTTGCAGTATTCAAAATAAATGTAGTTGAATAGATCAAAAATGAACATTCAGTCATCATTTACTCCCCTCATGTCTTTCCAAACCTGTATGATTTTTGGAGCACAAAAGTGAAAGATGCAAAAGCACCATAAAATGATCAGAAATGTGGTCCATTAAATTATCTGGTTGCAGCTGAATGAGAAGATTATTAGTGAATAATGACTTAACTTGAGACGGTTCCTCAAATCAAATGACTTCAGAAGTATATGGACCATTATGTTGCTTTTTTGTTCATTTTGTGATTCATGAAAGTAAGTCAAGCATGTTTGAAAGGGCATGAGGGTGAGGAAATGATGACAGAACATTCATTTTTGGGTGAACTAACCTTTTAATCTGTTCATGTCTATATTTAAAGCAGCTTGTCTCATCTGGAATGGTTTCAAAATGACTAATGCATTACCTGTACTTTTTGCCATGTACTGTAGATATATATCTGCTGTGATCTTCTCTGTGATCATCCAGGATGAACAGCAGTCCTTTACTGTTTGTGCTGCTCTTTGAGAAATGAATAGCCTGTCGGTCCAGAAATAGTTTGCATTCTCTCGCTGACAGATGATCTGATCTCATTTCCTCACTGTTTAATAAGGATCCGCTTGTGACAGTCTACATGAACAGATGATGTCACTGGGATCCTACCTTGCCTGCAATTCTTGTCTTTGAGTGGATTCATGTTGATCTGAGCTACACCAGGCATAGTCTTTTGTTCATAGACTGTGTCATGCGGTAAAATTAAAGGGATAGTTTACAAGAAATGAAGATCATGATTTACTCTCCCCATGTCATTCTGAAACTGTATGACTTTCTTTTTTCTGTAGAACACAAAATTAGATATTTAGGAGAATGTTAAAGCTGCTCTTTCCTTACAGTGTCCAAATATTGTTCATTATTTTCTTGTTTGCACTATGAAGCCTCATAATACTTCTTGGAGAAGTTTGATAGTTCATATGTTTGTTTAGGTTCTTAAATGGGTTGAGGAAACTGTCCAGGCTATGAAGGTCCACCTTCTCTCGTCCGACCATGAAACTGCCCAGGAGACTCAGTGGGAGGTGTCCTTTGACCCCAGTTTAAAAGAAGTCACTGTGTCATTGAGTGGTCCAGCACCACAAATTGAGCTCAGAGACCCTCTTGGTAGGAATATGCTTTTATATTGAACGGTGGTTCAGGAATTACTGCACTTTGAATTTTAGATGTCTGACTTCTTTTCTTTAATGTACGGCAATTAATAAACCTTTTTAAAATCAATATCTAAATAACTACAGGTCGCGTAGTTGGAGAGAGACAGGGTCTGACAGAACTGCTCAACATCCCAAACTCAGCACGGGTGGTCAACCTGAAGAACCCTCGACCAGGACCATGGACATTAAAGGTGCCACCTAGAAGCTTTGAACAGCATCTACCATGATCCTAGTTAATAACTGTTAACAACAGATACTTCTGAAAAATGTCAGTGATTGAACCCTGCTTTTTCTCTCGTCTAGGTGGGCTGCGGTGGGAGACACACACTTAGAGTAACAGGTGTGAGCAACCTGGACTTCAGGGCGGGTTTTTCTAGTATACCTGTCACAGAGTTCAGCAGGACCAGAGAGAGACCTATTAAAGGTATTACTACATCATCATGTGGCTACATAACCCTTTTTCTTTGATTATTGCTCCAGCGATAGCCTAAACATATTTAAATATATATATGTGACCCTGGATCACAAAACCAGTCATAAGGGTCAATTTCTCGAAATTGAGATTTATACATCACCTGAAAGCTGAATAAATAAGCTTTCCATTATTGTATGGTTTGTTAGGATAGGACAATATTTGGCCGAGAGACAACTATTTGAAGATCTGGAATCTGAGGGTGCAAAATCAAAATACTGAGAAAATCGCCTTTAAAGTTGTCCAAATGAAGTTCTTAGCAATGTATATTACTAATCAAAAAGTTTTGATATATTTAAAGTAGGAAATTTACAAAATATCATCATGGAACATGATCTTTACTTAATGTCCTAATGAATTTTTGCATAAAAGAAAAATCAATAATTTTGACCCATGCAATGTATATTTGGCTATTGCTACAAATATACCCCAGCGAGTTAAGACTGGTTTTGTGGTCCAGGGTCACATATATTATTTAAATCATTAAAATAATCAAATGAATGCTATTAAAACATAATTGTTTTTATTGTTAAATAATGATTTAAAACAGTTCATATTTAGTACCAGAAATTAATACCAGATTGTGCTCATGTTTGCACATGACTTAACTGTATTAAGAATTATAGATCTTACATATCCAGTTTTCCTCCAGGCGTTCCAGCCCACATGATGCTGAAGTGTTCAGGTCTGAAGCCTCCTGGTCTGGTTACCAATATGGAGCTAGTATCTTTAGGGGGCCGCTCTTTGCGTACCATTCCTGTGCCTTTGCCTGACGATGGAGGCTCAGGAGGTATTTGGAGGATCCCAGAGTTTCGAACACCCTCTCAGAGCTTCTTCCTCAAAGTGTCTGGAAATGATGGAGATGGCTATAACTTTCAGAGACTGTCTAGTGTGTCATATACCAACATTATCCCAGGTAAGCGTCTTTCAACACTGTATAAATGCTTGTTTTATGTTTTGTTTGTTTAGTTGCATTCAAAATCCATCTAACTCAGCTTTACCTTTGAACTGTTTGAACACTGTATAAAAACTTTTTGTTTTGTTTTTCATTTCTGTTTCATTTTGTTTTGTTTGTTTGTTTTTTGTTTTGTTTTATTAACACTTTTAACTGTTTGAACACTGTATAAATACTTTTTGTTTTTTGTTTTGTTTTCAATTTGAATGGGCTTGATGCTCTTAGATGTGTTGAGACACAAGTTGACATTGTTTATGTTGTGTTGGGTAACCCAGCTGTGATGAACCAGTTTAACCTTTTGGCCTCCTCTCACCCTGCAGAGCCTCCACGAGTGAACATGCCCACTGGGGTAAGAGGCTTCTACATGCAGCCTGCTACGATTGACTGCTCTGTGGAGAGTGACCTGCCTTATAGGCTGAGATTCACCAAAGGTGGAAGCACAATAGGAGAGGAAAGAACCTATGAGTGAGGCTCTCCTCAGATCTTACCTTTTTATATGGTCCTGTTTCTCTTCTATGTCTGTTTCTGTTTCTTTTGTATCTCACACGCCACACAAATTCAATACAATTTGATTTGTTATTAGTTTTTTGATGCATGTTTTTATATTTTGGGTACTATTAGATATTCTTGATAATCAAAATTAAAAGTAGCTGCCTATACCCCTCTTTTCAGATCTTTTGTTTTATAAGAAAAAAGTTTTCAGACCCAATGTTGTACCATATTGTAGAAAGTGGAATTTTTTCTTCCACCTTCCATTCTATATATTTCTTCCTCTCTCCCCTTTGTCTTTCTCGCATATATCCTTCTTCTTCTTCATATCTCTCTAAACCCAAACATGTACAAACACTTTTGCAGGCATTCTCTCTGGTGATATGGCCCTAAGTAACGTCTCTAGGTTACGTCTGTAACCATGGTTCCCCGAGGGAACGAGACGCTGCGTCGAGTCGCTTTGGGAACGCCCTTGCGTGACCGCATTCTGAAGCATGTGTCAAATCAGTCCAATGGAGCAGCGAGATGTCACGAGCGGGGTGACGTAAGCACCAGAAAGTATAAAAGCGCATCCAGCAGAGGGCAAACCAGCTTCGATGAAGTAGCGCCTGCAGGGATGCAGGGAGTATGGCAAAGAGACGCAGCGTCTCGTTCCCTCGGGGAACCATGGTTACATACGTAACCTAGAGATGTTCGTGCCCCCTGCCTGAGAGAGGAGGTCCCTCCTGATCGGAATCTGCAGCGGAGAGCCGTCGAGGAGGGACACCAAGTCCGAGAACCATACTCGGGCCGGGCCAGAACGGGGCTGCTAGCAACAAACGGACCCCATCCCGGCGTACCCTCTCCAGAACTCCCGGGAGCAGAGCGATCGGGCCGTTAGCGTTACGCGACGACAAGGAGCCCCTAACATCGGGCCTTAAACCAGGAACCAACGTTTCTTCCACATGTCTAAGGCACGTAAGCATCGCCGCGTGGCCTTGATCATGCGAAGCGGATTCCCCCTCGGGGAAAATCCTTTGGTTCTGAGCCATCACTGCAAGGGACGAGAACCGAACTGGATTCTGTAACCTTTCTCTACAATCTGCAGGACCCATTTTTGAGATATTTGGTAGAAGTTTCCACGCGACCTGACTGCTGTAGCACCCTCACTTGAGGGGGCGAGCTCTCCCGTGCCGTACCGTTGCTGGGCGGCAGCTGGGAATTTCGCTCGTCGGAGCTCACTGAGCCCTGAAGCACCGAGGTGGCAGGGGTATCAATGAACCTCCATGAGGAAATTGAGGGAACAACCCGACTTGACTGCTGTAGCACCCTCACTTGAGGGGTCGAGCTCTCCCGTGCCGTACCGTTGCCGGGCGGCAGCTGGGATTTTCGCTCGTCGGAGCTCACTGAGCCCTGAAGCACCGTGGGTGGCAGGGGTATCAATAAACCTCCGTGATGGCACTGAGGAGGATTGGGCACCGTAACTGAGGTGTTATCCTTTCCTCCCTAGGTGGGCTGCCCTCAGGGACCTGACAATGGTAGGACCATTTAGCCGAGGTCCTCTTAGACAAAATAACGGTCCTCAGATCCGTTTTCGTTCTAGAAGACCCCGACTGAGAGCATCGCCCCGACCCCCGATCTTTCTGTGGAGGGGTGCGGGTTGCAACGC